CTATAATAAATATGAATAAAATAATCAATTCATAATAGAAAAATATATGCAAATATATCTGCATTCATGCACACACACACACGCGCGCGCGCACACAGACTTAAAAAGGAGCTTTACACTCAAAAATCAAAATCTAACAATGCATGCCTCTATGTATGATGATTAATAATAACATAGGCATGTCAGATGTAAATTCCTATGATATATATATATATAATTGCAGAGCATTCACTTCCTGCTTTGAAAGGGCAAAATCACTTCAGTTTGCCCAAGCATTGCACCTTGGGATTGCCTTGTCATCAGCATAGCATTGCTGGGAAATCTCATCTGTAATCTCACAAGATCTCATGGAAAGGCATTTCCCTCCCCTGAGATGATGTGCATGGTCACATGTCCTAGTCACATGTGCCAGATTTTCAGAAAGTAATAGGAGAGCTAGCAATCTGCCCTTAGTAAACATGGCCATTGTCAGAAGACTGTGGAAGAAAAGAGAAATATGGTATGCAAATAATACAAAACCGTCAATTATCTAGAAGTATGTGTTTGTAGATTGTCATCACTAAACATGTCTAAAGGTGTGTTTGTTGTTATTTTAAAGATATGGGTAAAGGTCCACTTTAAATATCATAATATAGTGATCTAATAAGTTTGATAAAATCTAAATTATATTTAATATTATACAGGCTGATATTAAGAAAACTTAATATATGAAGATGAAGTGTCAGGCTCACTCAAAGTTAATAAAGCTATATTAATGTGACCACGTTTCATGTTACAGCCTGGATATGAGTGTAACATGAAACATGATCCAAAAGGTAAACTTAACCTTTTAATTTGTATAGGGGAACTGTGACATTATGGAAAAAATAATTTATGCTGATCAAAGTCATAGATATACAGTAGCTGGTGATTACACAATAGTGGACATATCTCATTTGCTGACATTTTATTTACAGGGAGATTTATGACCAAGCTGCAGAGAAGATATCTATCTATGCCGGTGTCTTATCTGACCAAGTATATCATTGGTCAGGCAGCGACTGATGAAGGATGCTTTCTACAAATGGGAAATGTTTTGGCAACTTGGTGTCACTGATCTTCCAGCAACAATAAACTGTCCTATACAATAAACAATAAACTATTAATCAGAACAAAAAAATAAAACATTAATTGCATCAAAATGTTTCTGTTTTTTGTGTGTTTCTGATGATTTCTTCCGCCAACCAATCACCATACTGCCGGTGGAGAAATAAAGGGAAAGATGCATATATTTGAGTTGTTATTGCAGTGCTTTTCTTAAGCTGGCCATACACCACTAGAATTTTGTTTGAAAATGTTAGTTTAATTTACTAATAATTAATGGGGTCAAATCGATGGATTGTTTTCGATCATAGTGCTGAAAAAAAATAGGAGCACTAAAATCAAATCAAATGTTAAAACCAAACAAAGTTTTAAACAAAATTTCTAAGGTCTCTGATGACATTATCGAATGCTCTGCCAAGATTGGGACACCCCTCCAAACCATTGGATTCAGGTGTTCCAATCACCTTCATGGCCACAGGTGTATAAAATCAAGCACTTAGGCATGCAGAGGCTTCTACAAACACTTGTGAAATAATGGGTCGCTCTCAAGAGCTCAGTGAATTCAAGCGTGGTACCGCGATAGGTTGCCACCTGTGCAATAAGTCCATCCTTGAAATTTCCTTGCTATTAAATATTCCACGGTCACCTGTTAGTGGTATTATAACAAAGTGGAAGCAACTGGGAACAACAGCAACTCAGCCACAAAGTGGCAGGCCACGTAAAATGACACAGGGGGGTCAGCTCAGAAGTCAACCAACTGTCTGTAGAGTCAATAGCTACATACCTTCAAACTTCATGTGGCCTTCAGATTGGCACAACTTGTGCGTAGAGAGCTTCGTGGAATGGGTTTCCATGGCCGGGCAGTTGCATCCAAGCCTTACATCACCAAGTGCAATGCAAAGCGTTGGATGCAGTTGTGTAAAGCATGCCCCACTGGACTCTAGAGAACTGGAGGCCTGTTCTCTAGAGTGAGGAATCACGCTTCTCTGTCTGGCAATCTGATGGACGTATCTGGGTTTGGTGGTTGCCAGGAGAACGGTTCTTGCCTGACTGCATTGTGCCAAGTGTAAAGTTTGATGGAGGGGGGATTATGGTGTGGGGTTGTTTTTCAGGGCTTGGCCCCTTAGTTCCAGTGAAGGGAACTCTTAAGGCATCAGCATACCAAGACATTTTGGACACTTTCATGCTCTCACCTTTGTGGGAACAGTTTGGGGATGGCCTGTCTCCCACCTGTGTGGGAACAGTTTGGGGATGGCCCCTTCCTGTTCCAACATGACTGCGCACCAGTGCACAAAGCCAGGTCCATAAGGACATGGATGAGCCAGTTTGGGGTGAAGGAACTTGACTGGCCTGCACAGAGTCCTGACCTCAACCCGATACAACACCTTTGGGATGAATTAGAGCGGAGACCCCGAGCCAGGACTTCTCGTTTAACATCAGTACCTGACCTCACAAATGCGCTTCTGGAAGAATGGTAAAACATTCCCATAGACACACTCCTAAACCTTCTGGACGCCTTCCCAGAAGAGTTGAAGCTGTTATAGCTGCAAAAGGTGCGCCAACTCAATATTGAACGCTATGGACTAAGACTCATTAAAGTTCATGTGCGCGTGAAGGCCGGCGTCCCAATACTTTTGGCAATATAGTGTATATTAGAATATGTGTAACGGTTTGGATACAGGTTTAAAAAACAAGTTCACTATTATAT